GGGCGGGGCGCGGCCGCCACTCGAACTCGCCGACAGCGCCCTTGACGCGGCCGCCGAAGTGGCGGGTGACGGTGCCCGGGCCGCCCTGCTTCGGGGGCCCTATGGGCTTGAATGGCACCTGGGGGAAGCAGCACGCGCTGCCTGTCAGCCTTGTGCATGATCAGCCACCTTATGCGCTCCAACCCGAAGCCCAGACTTACCAGCGACCAGGCTCACTGACCAGCCCAGACGGTCCGTGTGTTCTGATTCCGATTGATAGTGCAAAAAACCCTCCTGCGGTCGCCGCCTTTCCCAGCCTTCCCCCAACCGCCGCAAGCTCGTTGCGCAACACCGAGCTTGCTAGCAAGCCGCGACTGCACGCGTGCAGGCCCGCGCGCCTTGCGGCCATGGCCTCACCGCTGGGGCCGTGTCGCTGCGGTCCCTCTTGGCCATGTGGATGGGGTCCGCCAAATATTCGTACTCCCCCGCCACCCCCTTGTGGCCCTGGCGCTCGCTACGACGACGTGGCGCCGCAGGGCGCAGCGCGAACCAGGCGCGGCCGGGGCAGGCGTCAGCGCGCTCGGTCGGAGGGCAGGGCCGGGGCGGCGACGCTCGCGTTGAGCGGATTTCGAGCGGACCGGTCGCTTGCAGAGCGCGTGCCCTCTCGAACGCCCACGTGCCCACCTGAGGGTGGTGCCGAGGCAGCCATAGCCGCCCTTCTTGGGGGTTGCGGTCACGATGTTCTTGGGCTGGCCGGGGATCTCGCCTTTCTTTTTCTTAAACTCTACCGTGCCCTGCAGAGCACACATTAGGTGGGCGGGTGGTGTCACGCGTGCAACAGGAAGGGAACCGCTTGCATCAATGGCGCATACCCGCGATGGTGGCTGGCTATCACAGCAGTGCAACACTGGCACGCCTTAACCCAGTCCGCGCTGCCCCGAGTCAGGGGCCCCTGACCCCGCCCGCCGCCTCGCCACCCGCCGCGCCCGCCTCGTTCTCTGCGGCCAGTCCGATGCCCAATTGATCGCCGCGGCCAGCCGCCGTGCCTCCCATTTCAGGGCCGCTGCTGGCTCGCCGCTGCTGGGCAAACATCAAACATCACCCGCACGCCCGCAGCGGTGCCCGCTTCGTCACCAAGCTGGCAGCTCATGTCAAACACACCCGCATTGCCCGGGAGGGCATGCGCCGCTCCGTGGGCGTGCTGCTCACCGCCATGTATTCCACTCTGCCCCCCAAAGTGCCTACAAAGTCGCCTGGGCAAGCTGATGCCTTCATGGGGCTCGCAGCCTTGAACGGCCGCTCGCTGACGTTGCGCGCCGCGCCCGCCTTTGCCATCCGGATCTTCATCCTGCACGGCGGGGGTCGACGACAGCGAGCATGCCGGGCCATGCAACAGCGAGGTAGGAGCGAGGGAGGCGCGCAGCGGCGGCAGTACGGACGCTTGCGCCGTCTCCCTTGTCGCCACGGCGACCGCGGCAGCCGCAGCGGCAGCGGCGCGCGGAGATGGGTGCATGCGTTTTGGTATCACGGAGGGCTGGGCAGGCGAGTCGACCCTTGCGCGCGTGTGGGCGCGTGCGGCTGCGGCCACGCGTGACTGCGACCATCGCCCAGGGCTGGAGTGAGATGGAGCCCACCTGAGGGGCTCAACATACTTTTCGCCCTCAAACAGGGGCTTGAACTTGTCAAAGCAGGCGTCGTTGTTCTGAGGGTTGGATTGCGGGCGGTGGCGCCGACAGCCGAGGCTTGGGCGAGCTAGGCAGCCCCTCACGGCAGTTCATGCCCATAAGCCTGAGCGCCGCGCCCCGCACCGAGATGGCTTGCCGTGACCTGCAACCTCTCAAGCTTCCCAAAGGACTGCAAATCACACACATGCACGCGTGCATGCGGCCCCTATACCCCGGGGCCCGCCGTTGACGCTGGCTCGCGTCGCGCCTACTCACCTTGCCTTGTCTGCATGTCGACACCTTGAGGTTCAGCCCGCGGTCTCGCGCATCCGGCTTGGCCGCGTCTACATAGGGATCGCCCAAGCCAATGCCTGGAGCCTCCTGAAACACGCCGAAGCGCGTTGTCATGTCGGTGGCGCGGCGCGCACCGCGGAAGCAGCGCAGCAGAATGACCCCGCGCACGAAGCGTGTTGTGGGATTGCAGCGACGAGTCAAGGTCTGCGTGCTGCTGGCCACAATCAATTCATTGGCAATTTTTGAACTCGTTGATCGCTGGCGATCGATCAGGCCTGCTGCGCGAAACAAAACTGCTTGGAACCGCGATGGAAATGCACTGCAAGTAATGAACAGAACCGTGCGTCAAAGATAAAAGTGATGCGAAAATACTTGCGGGTACCTCGTGGTTCTTGGGCGCATTAGCAAGCGTGCAGCCCGACGTGTCGCACCAAGACAAAGTCAACGACGGACTGACTGGTCTGCATTGATCAGGTGCTCTCCAGCCCTCAGCACGTGCAAAAATGAAGTATACCATATTGCCTTGAAGCCGTAGTCAGCCGTCACCGCCTCACCCGCAGGCGCATGGTTCAGTACCGTCAAGTGTGCGGCGAGCAGCAGAATGCATATGATAAAGCCTCTATGTAAAACCTCGATCGAATGGCGTGTTACTCCCTGCTCAATTCAGGAATTTCCAGAGCCCTTCATGCCTGGCAATCGGGCATCACTGTTACAATTTGATCGTCATGGCATGGTCGACCCGAAGGGTCAACCGGGCCCCCGTTTGTGCACAATGATCAGCACAGATAGGTTGCCAGCCTCCCAAATGATTTTTCATCTGTCTGGCTGTGGTGCTGCAGCTCTTATGCCTGCGTGATAGATGTGACTTGCTTCACGGCCCCCCAGTAGATGGCACCCTGGCCGGGTGGCCCTGATGCGCCATGCCCGCGCCGGCCTGTCGCGGTCTCAAAAGAGTCGAATGAATAATTCAAGGCGATAAATCTGTGAAACCCGGGGCCGCCAGCTCCTACGCCGCATTGGTGACGGCCAGTTGGCGTGGTTACTAATGCTGGAAGGACGAGACGGAAGGGACGCGCGCACGCACCTGTCCTCAGCTCCCTTCCGCCTCGCCAGGCCGCGGCGTGGCGCTTTTGAGGCCCCTCACATATTTGTGCACGAATGCCTGCCAGTACGTATCAACCGGCGGCGTACGCGGCCGCGTCAACGGCTTCGGTATGACCATTTCAAAGCCGTCACCCATACCAGCACCGGCAACTCAATTGTGGTTGATGATACGTGGTAGCTCGTGGGACAATGTGATTTTAATTCGTGTGTTGAACTACATTTTGTCGTTTTCATGCCCGCTGATGCCAAATAGGCTGTGTTGCTCTGCAACCCCGGGTGACTCCCGGACGTTTTGACGGCTGGTATAGTGGAATTCAAGGCCCCTGATTCCAAGATGGCGAAAAATGACGAAAACTTCACGCGCAGGACAGGAGCTTGGAGCGATGCGGTGAGGCCAAAAGCACGCCACAGCCTGGGTCGGTGACCACCAGTGGCAAATGTTCGCAATGTCATCACGTTCGATCAGCATTGCCAGCTTATAAAGATGCCAGCTGGTCCTCTCCACGCCGCTCTGTTGCCTGCCGCAGGAGGACGCGCTGCTCTGCGCCCTGGTGGCAGAGCTGGGGGTGAGAAGGTGGTCGGCGGTGGCCGAGCGCCTAAGCGGCACGCGTTCCGGCAAAAGCTGCAGGCTGAGGTGGGTTCGGCTGTCTGTCGTCGAAAAGTGTAAGGGAGCCCACCTTGCCTGTGGGAGTGCTGCGGCATGCCCATCACACCTGCTGGCGGCCGGCGTGCCCAAACATGTTGCGCTCAGGTGGCACAACCAGCTCGACCCAAGTGTCAACAAGACACCCTTCACCGAGTGGGAGCAGGCCGTCATCTTCAAGGTGCACTATACTGCGCCGCGCTCTGCCGTCCGGACCTCTCGGGCCCCCTCGGCTGTTGCCGCCGCTGCAGCCGCAACTTCCCGCAAAGCTTTGCCCGCACGCCGTGAAACTCCCGCCCCCCTTCTCACCACCCCGCCCCGCTCCGCCCCGCCACGGGTTTTCCTGGGCACTTCAGCCCCCTCTGGCCCCCCTGGCATGCACCTCTCCGCCGCCAGGCCCAGGAACTGCCCGCGTACTCGAACCGATGGGCAGCCATCGCCCGCATGCTGCAGCGCCGCACCGACAACGCCGTCAAGAACCACTGGCACGCGACGCTCAAAAGGAAGGCGCTGGCGGGAACCCTCAACAACAGGCGAGCGCCACGACCCCGCGCCTGCCTCATTTGCACCCAAGCCGCGCGGCATGGGTTCGCGTGTCTCTCAATCCCCCAGACCCCGCCCTATGGTGCTGAGGTAGTGTCATTTTGTGCTTTTGTTGCACACACTCCACTTGCCCGTAGAAACATGCCCGCACACAATGCGCCTGTGCGCCCATGCATCCAAATGCTCAGGTACCTGGAGCAGGGGGTGCAGCTGGATTGGCTGCTGGCCCACCCAGAGACTGTTGTAGTGAAGGAAGCCGGGGAAGCCCCGCGCAGCCCAGCCCGGAAGAGGGTGCGGAAGGTGGGCTTCCATTTTCGCCCGCGTTGTGGCTGAGCTGGCCGCCCTCAAGGCCCGCCATCCAAGCTTCAGAGCGCTGCCACGCAGTGCGCGATCATCACAGTTAACGAGGCGGTGTGCTTGTGTGGCGCGTCCCTGCGCTGACCTTGCGCTGAGCATAAACGCACAACGCCTCCACATACCCCAACAGTTGCTGGGACCCCCAGCAAACCTGCACTCTGGCCATCACGTGCGCCTGCACGCCCTGGTTGTCCACCGCGTTTCTAACACAAATCGCCGCAACGCGCGCTGTTCGTCCCAATGCAGGTAGCCGCTGCAGAACCCGACAGCGGTGGCGTAATTAAACTCCGCCGGTCGAGCCGCCACGGCAGGCCCTCATCTGCATCAACTGCCCTGGCGCTGTCCAAGGGCGCCTGCGCCCCACGCGAGGCCGAGCCGTCGCCAACCATCAGCAGCAGCTGTGAAGCAAACGCTGACAGCACGGCGGCCGAGCCGCAGCCCATGGCGGCCGAGCCGCAGCACATGGCGGCGGAGCCGCAGCCCGCGGCGGCCGAGCCGCAGCCCGCGGAAGCCGACACGCAGCCCGCGGCGGCTGTGCCGCGGCGGGTGGTGACAATGCTGCTGGGCACGGCCGGGGATCAGCCATCTGGGCCGTCCTGTCATGCCTCACCAGCTATGAGTGGATCCCATGACGCGCCAGCAGCTGGCTGGTCCCCGCCGCCGTCGGACGACGCCACCTGGGCGCCAGCTGTGACAGCTCCCTCCTCAGAAAGAGGTATACCTGCTCTCTTGGCGCAGCAGAGGGCACAAACAGATCAGGAGCAGGAGCAGTGGCTGCACCAGCAGCAGATACTGCTGCAGCAACAGCAGCAGCTGCAGCTGCAACAGCTGCGCGAGCTGCAGCAGCTGGAGCAGCGCCACTTTCTCCAGATGCAGCAGCTGCAGACGCAAGCGCAGCAGCAGGCCGCGTGGCGGCCAGCCGCAGCCGTGGCGATCACGTCCCCTGGGGCAACACCACGCATGGGGATGCTGGCGGTTGACGGCGGGCCCCAGCAAATGCTGAGCCGGGTTGGGAGCGGCAGCATGGACAGCTGCGGGACAGCCGCCACGAACCCGGGCTCGAGCTCAAGCTTGGCCACTGCCCCCACGCTCGCGAGCACGGCGTGGCTGGCGCTGCAGGTCAGCGAGGCGCCCCAAGTGGCGTGCGGCGGCGCCAGCGATGGCAGAAGCGCCCGCAGCTGCAGCCCAAGCGTTGGCGGCGTCAGCGTCAGCCCTCTTGTCAAGCAGGTGCTGACGCGCCACCAAAAGCATCAGGTCACGCGGCTGCATCACCACCACCATCAACAGCAGCAGCAGCAGCAGCAGCAGCAGCAGCAGCAGCAGCAGCAGCAGCAGCAGCAGCAGCAGCAGTGCCTACTGTTGCAGGATCTCCAGGGCTGCGAGGAGGGATCAAGGTGCTCTGTGCCGGTGGATCACCCCCACAGCCAGCCGCAGGCGCACCTGGCGCTGCTGCAGCGCCGGGAACAACGAGAGCTGCGGCTCGCGCGGTTTGTTCAGGAGCAGCGCGCACAGCAGGCGCTGCAGCAGCAGCTGCTCGAGCAGCACACGCGCGTCCAGCTGCAGCAGCAGGCGCTGCTGCGAGAGCGCGAGTCGGCTGCGCCTGCAGCCGCGGCCGCGAGGGATTGGCATGCTCAGCGCGAGCTGGAGCACGACCTTTTAACGCAGCAGCAAGAGCAAGGCGCGCGCGCACACGCGCAGGCGCTTGCCGACGCCCAGGTGCAGTCGTGCATGTGGCTGCAGGGTGCGCGGTGCCTTCCAACCACCAACTGCTTCGCTGCTGCCCCAAGCACGAACGCCGCCGTCGCTGCGCAGCCGTGGGCGCTGCTGGAGCGGGCGGCCGACACGCCAATGGCGCGGGCAGCGCTGGGCCCCTGCGCCGCGCTCGCCGTGGACGAGGCGGAGGCCGCGCTCGCGCTCGCGCAGCTGCCGGTCGGTATCGAGGTCCCTTCCAGCTTGGACGCCTGCGGATTTGCGGATGACGCCTTCCTGCCCGATGTGTGCCTGGGGAGCCTGCCCTTGGCGTCACTGGACGTCGATGATTGGGACACTCGCCTAACAGCCCTCCGCTGAGCTGGCGCAGCCAAGGCCCCCGACCTAGAGGACCGTGTTGGGCGTCGTTCCGACTGTGCGTGGTGCACAGGACCTGCTCGGCAGTCCGCTCATGCCTCTGCTCATATTTCGCTCGGCCGCTTGGGACGGTCAATTGGCTTTTCAAAACCCCCAACAGACTGCATGCAAACGCGCCTCTCAGTGCGCACAAACTGGGGGTCTCAGGCTGCTGGCGCCGCTTCAATTGCAAAGGGATCTGTCAAGAACATGAAACAACTGTAATGCCGGCCGTGCGCTGCCGCTTTGCGTGAATGGGGTCGGCATCCCTGATGCATCAAACCCTGGCAACCTCTTATTTGACGGGCGGTAGGGCGCGCGCAGCCGCATGACTTTGACCGGGCTGGCCAACGGCAAGTCCTGGCACTCGAATTTGTGCATGCGTTCTCCGCTCCACTCTCACTGCCTCAACACCTGCGCACCCACACCGCCTTCTCATTGCAAGCCCAGTTTTGCTTCATTACAGGCCTGTTGCATGTACTGAAGCAGGTCGACAGGGCTGGAGGGCAGGACACACACTGCTGCCCCTTGAATCGTCGCTTCACACCGCCCGATGGATCGCCTTTCACAGTGGCCGCACTGCCTCACTCGCTGCGTGGTCTCTTCTTAACGCACCCTGCAACAGCGCTCACGCCCCTGTGCGTGTGCAATCGTAGACACACCCTCCTTGCCCCCAAATGATACGATACGCCAGGCGGGCCACGCCAATTTCTATCATTCCACACTTGCACCAGACTTTTGGGTTAGGACCGCTTTATGCGGCCTCCATCTGCTCTCGCTGCTGTCCAGCCCAAGGGGGCCTCATGGTGCTGTCGATTTGTTATCAGTCATCAAGAGTCATCGGCGCCGCAGCCTGGGCGGCCAAGGCAGTGGCCGGCTGCGGCGCGTGCGGCCGTTTGGTCTGGGTGGCATGTGTCGCCTGGGACGGCGGCACATGCGCGGTGCTGCCCTCTGTTGTCACCAGCCATTTTGTCGTTTCGCCTCGCCCGCTCTGCAGGCCTGCACACTCGAGCTCGCTCGCCCCTGCCTAGCATGCAGACGCTGCACCGCCAGCGCCTGCATCGCACACGCTGCGTCGAGATTGCAAACAGAAACCCACACTCAGACACCCAAAACCCACGCACATCAACCAAGACCCTGTTTCTGCTGCGCTTGCTCGGTGGTGCCGTGGACGGCTCCAAAACAGCTCATGGGGCTGGATGTGCTTGGCACGCGCAAGCACATCCATAGTTAATCAGTTTGGCCCACTGTGGCAACGTTGCAACCGCCAATACGACACTTTTGACTTTAGGCTCGCATGGTCCGACCGTGTTGCCATGCAAACGCTCTCTGCGCTTTGGCCCAGGCGGGCCGGCGCCGACGCTGCCCTGCCCGCCCGCGATTTGTTTGCCCCAAATGCTTGCCTGTGTGCGCGCCCCGCCCCTTTTGGGCATGCTTGTCTGGATGCATTGTGTCGCGCTTGCTGTTGTGTGTGTGCGCACGTGTGTTTGCTTGTGCATGCGCAAGCCGTAGAAGGGCCCTCCCTTTGCCCAACAACCGACTAGCAGCGGAGGCCGACAGCATGCATGCACGGCCAGCCGCGCCAGTGCAGGCTGCCTGCGTGATATGGGGCAAGAGGATGTATATTTGCATGAGTTCGGCATTGGACTTAATGTAGTCGCTGGACACACAGAACTTGAAGGCAGACACCTGTGCTGTGAATTTGAAGGTAACAGTCACGTGAGTGGGTGACACATGACAGCCTCCAATTTCTGGCTTGGGTCACAAGGACGTATGGCAGGACGTGTGTCCATTCCTTGCCGCCACGCAGATTGTTCCGGACCGTTACTGGTAGCAAAGGTTAAGTCCCTGGGCATGCAAATGCTTTGCCCAGCCTGCTCCGCGCAACATGCTGTCCATCTGAGTCCAGTGCTGTCGCCCCGTGAGTGACGCCCAGGGGAGCGGAGCCGTGTATGAACGCAAATTTTGTGTTCACGTGATTCACATGTTGTGATTTGCATGAACGTCTTCTGCAACGGCTCCGTCTTGGGACACGCTGCACACCGAGTCGGTCTCGAATTCTCTCGAGGTTTGCCGCAAGAGCCTCCCCAGACATAGTACACAAGCCATTGCATCGATCTCCCACATAAAACACCATTATCAAAATTGATACAGCAACTTGAAATCAAGATCCCATTGAGTCTCCGCCATGCAGACGACTGCCATGCGTGCAAAGCAGGGCAGACCCATGGGCCGCCCTAGGACGACGAAACCGTGTGTGGCTCCACGCAACAGCCGCAGAAGCGCGGTTATCGTGCGTGCTGACAAGGTACGATTATATGAGTGGGCCCCAGGATCACTGGGTCTGTATTTTATGCAAGGTCAGTAGACAACATCCTGCGAAGATCTAAGAAGCCAGCCCCTGCCTGTGCATGGCATGACGCGGAGCCGCCCGACGCTCACCTCTGGAACCGCCGCTCGCACCCCACATTGGATCAACTGCCGCGCCGGCCTGCATGCGCGCACACGCAGGTGGTGGGCGTCGACCTGGGCACGACCAACTCGGCCGTGGCCGCCATGGAGGGCGGCAAGCCGACCATCATCACCAACGCCGAGGGCGGGCGCACCACGCCATCTGTGGTGGCGTTCACCAAGAACGGCGACAGGCTCGTCGGGCAGGTGCGCTGCGGGGGCACGATTCTGATTCTGAAGCCCGTCTGAGCGGACGCAAGGCGCCGGCACGCGCCCACCAGGCGCCGGCAGCAGCGGCTGCAGCTGCGGCGGCGGCGCCGATGGCTGCCAGCGGCGACGGCTTTTTGACGCTCGGTCTCGTGAAGCCGGCGAACCACGCGAGTCCCCGACGAACGGCGGGGCTGCATCCGCCCCACATCGTCCCCGAAGATTGCACCTTGCTGAACAAACATAGTCTCCACCAACTCTCCCTGCCCTATTCCACTCCCCCAGATCGCCAAGCGCCAGGGCGTGGTCAATCCTGAGAACACCTTTTTCAGTGTCAAGCGCTTCATCGGCCGCAAGATGAACGAGGTTAGGGACGAGTGCAAGCAGGTGCCCTACCAGGTGAGGATTGCAATGCGCCAGCCTGAATGTGTTCGGACAGGGGTGAACTGGCCTGGACTGGGACGGGGTGCGGTGGGCTGGACTGGGACGGGGTGCGGGGTCGGGTGCGGTAGGGATCGATGTGACGGGGCAGGGGGCGGCCGCGCTGCACGTTGGCGGCAGCAGCAGTCCTTGCTGAGAGACGGCAGGTGGAGAGGCACCTTCGCAAAACCTCCACCTCAAAAATGCATGGATGGCTCCAGATTCGTGCGATTGCACGCAGAACGCTGTGACCAACAACCCTTTAACACAATCCATTGTTGTGTGAGCGCGCGCACCTCAACCACATCTCAATCATCCTGCCTCCCGCCGCCAGGTGGTCGAGGGCGACAGTGGCAACGTGAAGATCAAGAGCCCAAACGCCAAAAAGGAGTTTGCGCCGGAGGAGATCAGCGCGCAGGTGGGCGCGCGCGCCGCCCGCGCAGCGGCGCGGGCGCACGGGGCCCGCCAATGGGAGGTATCCGTGGGCGAGGCGAGGGGAGGTGTGGGACGGGCACTACTGTTGCCCGCAGCTCGCTCGGCCGGGCGTGCATCTGTGCAGCCTGGGGCGGGTCCCCAGGGGAGAAGGTCTCCGCCCGCTCAGGGGCTTCTCATGGGGGGGCGCACCCTCGGCCGCGCGGGCGCTGCAGACTTCAGCCTAGCGGCCCCGGCGTATCACTCTCGCGCGGCACTCTCGCGCGGCCCTCACCGTGCGGCGTCACCCACGCGTCACCCGTGCGTCACCCGCGCCGCAGGTCCTGCGCAAGCTGACGGGTGACGCGGCCAAGTTCCTGTCTGACAAGGTGGACAAGGCCGTCATCACCGTGCCGGCTTACTTCAACGACAGCCAGCGCCAGGCCACAAAGGACGCGGGTGAGGGGCGGTTGCTGGTGGTTCGGGGTGGTTGAGGGTGGCTGGGGGTGGTTAGGGG